TCAAGTTACATTTAAGATATATATCATAGATGTCAAATGGTAGTACAAGTAGTAAACCTAATGCCAAACTGCCATTTTCTATATATACATGTATGACAGATTCACCTAGTATAAGTAAAACACCCCATTACTGTTTTGTGTGTTCTAGATTGTAAGACTTATTATTTGACCTGTGCATGGATATGATATAAGTATATCTTTCATAAAAATTATGATACTAATAAACAAGAACAGAAACATTACCTGTGCCCACACCTTTTACTACCATTCAATGTAGTATATGATTGTGTAATTTCCAAAATATATATTTGATGTAATGTGAGAAGGCAAAGAGCAGGGTAGAAATATGTTGAAAGATAACCTGTAGTAACAACGTATGTCAATATTTGTGTGCCTCTTATAGTTTGACAGCGGTCAGCATAGAAATAATATTTGAAGTAGATAAGGATTCCATTTGCTTTCTGGAAATTTGAACAAAGAAAATATCAAAGAATACGAATAGAAACTTGATCCATTTGGCCTGGTCCTACCGGCTGGAGAGTGTTACCATATTGCAATGACATAGAAAGTTCTGCATTGGATTCCATCACTTTGTGCAGCGTGAATATCATAAAAGCATATAGGATGATGATTTTTAGTAATTTTACGAGGATAAGCCCTAGCTATTTTCTGGTTAATTAGACATCATAACATTTAGTGGGAAGCCATTATACAGCGCAAAATCATCCACTTTGATAATTGAGCCTGAAGGTGACTCAATGACACCACGTAGTCACTGGCTATCTCTCTCTCTCTCTCTCTCTCTATCTCTCTCTGTCTCTCTCTCTATTCATAATCATTGCTTTTTCTTAATGTATTCATCTGTATACGGTCAGCAGGAGGGGCGAGTAACTTATATCACCTCATTTTCTTTAAGAAAATGCATCATCCTTTTAAAATGTTCTGCAGGCATATCTCGGTTTCAACACCCATTTTTTTCTTCTTTTCATGTAGCTATTCTGAGAAAATCACACGACAGACAGCACGAGACAAGAAGGTTCGAAGCAGTTCAAATAGGTATATACATATTTTTTAGATATTTGATTATTTCTATGACATGTTGTGAAGCTTGTGTAGAAAACGTATTGCCTTTGTATCTAATAGTCGGAAATCTTCAGAACGTTCAGAATTCTTCTGAATATTCAGACAGTGCTGATAGTTATAAAGTAGGCTTGCGGTTGCACCATGTGAGAGGGGGAGGATTGAGGAGTCCTGAAAAGGACACAACCGTAAGCCTACTGTATATCTACATCACCATGCAAGCCGATACTTATAAGCAGCATTAGTGCTTGTAGTGTATTGATATTGAAGCTATACACAACGATGACTTTTGGGCGGGATATCCGGTACTGTAATATGCACTCAAACATAAAATTGTTTATAGAAAACACACTAATGCAGACTTAAAGGTACTATGTCCCTTTTGCAGCCAACCTCAAATTCTGTAGAACTTTGCAGGAATTATGAATATGTCATGTATGTCCTGTGAAATTTAAAAGTTAGCAGTGTCCTAATATTCAAATTATGCAAGGAAACCCGTTTACTTGCTAGTCTTCACTGTCAGACACTATTGAGTGACTGACTGGCTTTTTTCTTCTATGGTAATAACATACATAAAATGAGCTGTAAATGGTACATGAGCATTTGTCTACATCAATAACACACTTCTTGTGATGGCCAAAATTAAACTGATTGAATCTTTGCGCAGCATAAAACGTTTGACCATTCGGTACAATGGTCTGAAAATCAAGACTATTACTTATTGGCTCTATAGCTCCTAAGTCGATTTGACAACTAATAGTCGTTATTTTCCCACTTGAACACTTTTTCAAGCCCCACTTTCTTTAGGGAAGTTCTAAATTAGTAGTATCTTTCAAATGCCGCTGGAATTTAACCTTTTCATTTTTTGGGCCTGCAAATGGGACATAGTACCTTTAACAACCATTCTTTGTCTTGCTTTTTATATTACAAAGGACGAAGTCTTGTCCATGAAGCTTCACACACCAGTGATCACACATTTTCACCAGAAAAGCGTCTCACATCATGGCATTGCCTTCACGTAGCGATGATCACATGAAATGTGAAGAGACTGGTTGCCATGGACATTCCATATTAACTCATTACATCGACCAGGTGACAAGAAGAATATGTCACGCCTGCGCACTGGAGAAAGGTCACTTTCATCTACTTGGACACAAAAAATGGTATTGTGAGAGACATCAAGAGTTGGTAAAAGCCTTCTGCATCACTCATGGTGAGGGATGCTGCAAGTCATGTCAACTCATCTTCCATCAAAGTCCATGCCAGGTCAGTGATATCAATAAGGTTGTCGATGAGAAACAAAAGCTTTTAGAAGCCAAGATGCCCTTGAAGAAAAAGAGTACGAAGAAATTAAATGATTGTCTTCAAAGGGTGTCAGAAAGTGTGCTTGCTTCGGGGAAATCGTTCAAAAAATTGGTAGATGAAGTAGTTCAGCATTTCGATGAAGTATTAGGGAAGGAGGTCGAACGGGAGAAAGAAGCTATGTATACTATCAACAAGAAATACGACGATAAAATGACCAAGCTTCTGGAAAAAAGGGAATGCGACCTGAAACGTTGTCGGGAAGCGGCAGAACAACAAAGAAAACCTCTTCAAGAAAGTAAGAAGGATATACTCGACAAGATTCATAGATGTGAAAGAATCTCACAAGCAGGAATAGAGAAGCTGCAGCATGAGATGGAAGAGCTTCAAATAATTATCCATGAACTGAAGATCAAGATTAATCACGTTCTTCATGCAGAACAAGAAATTGTTTTGAAGTCCGACGAAGTGTGTGTGGAAATTGAGAGTACCTTTAAAAGGGTTGTCAAAGTGAATGCGGTTCTGGATGAAACTAATTGCATCACAAACTCTATATCTCTGCTTAGAAAAAGAAGAAACGGGAAAGAGCATCTTAGGTTATACTCCACACCTCATGGACCGTGGAAATTGGTAGATGAATTCAGAATCTCATCTCACATGAATGACTTACGTATTCTAGGGTGTGCCTTCAATGAAAATGCTTTCTTTGGAGACGTCAAGACAGGAGTGGGGTACATATTCGACTCCATCAAACGAGAGATGGTACACGTGTTACAATACGATGGAAGGGGCTCGGTTAACTACTGCACACCACTTGATGAGGAATCACTCCTGTGTGGAAGAACGCATGGAGGGTGCTCTAAGAGGACACTGAGTGAGTGCATCTGTCTGTATGACAGGAAATGGCAATTGAGGAAAAGTATTCCTATTCCAAGGCATACATCAGGACCATTCTCCTGCGTCAGTGTGGATGTTGATTGTAACGGAATGATCGTTGCATCAGAGGCTAATCAGTCCCATATCTACGTCATCAACCCAGCTAATGGTTTGACAGTCAAGACCATTCTTCTGCAGGATGCCAAGTGTAAGAGATGTCTGTGTATGCCAACTGGTGACATTGTTGCTTCTACTGGACAAGGAGAATTCACCATTCTAGATCAGACTGGTAAATCAAAGCGAATCCTACGGGATGACGACTGGCTATCAGCCGTTGATTTCTCGCTAGATCCTCTCTTAGACACGATGTATATAGTATACCGGGACGAGAGCCAGGATTCATATGCAGTAGATGAAGTGTCAGTGGGTGGAAAGATATCGAAGAAGATTTTAACCTTTCCTCAAGCAAACTGGTCAGATACCACTGCCAAAAGTCGCACTTATCCCATAGTTATTACACCTGCAGGCAAGCTCATCGCTTGCAATGAGGATAATGTTTTTATCTTCAAGAGAACAGTCTGTTTTAATGATACTGTTTTGATTTAGTCTTCATCAAGTAATTTCATGTGGATTTTACAAGTATTAAACAGACTCAGTTTGAAAAACAGAAGCATTCTTCCACCCCTCTAGCGGTAACACTGCTCGAGGGCGGTGGTGATTAAAATGTTCATAGGGGAAATTGTGCTTTAAACATGCAACCAGAAAAACACACACATACAACTCGTCACACAAAATTGTTGTGCGGAAAAGTAGTTTTAATTAATATATTCTACTATAAATATCTTTTAATGGTTGGGTGCAACATGCGTTCATAACACGACACGAGTGGAAATAATTAATTGAGTGTAATCATACATAATTATCACATTCTTATCATATAGGGCCTACTTCAAGCATGGTGTATGTGTACTTTTCTTTTGAGTGTTTTAGAAGATTTTTCTGGTGAAATTGGCCCACAATATATGAAATTAATGTTAGTCAAGTAAGTTTGAAATAATAAAAGGTTTTTTTTGGTATGCGTTTGCATAATAGATATTGATAAGAAGACTATGGTAGGCTTGGTGGATTAAAACGGAATTGTTTATGGATGGTCTCCCGAAATTGTCAAAAGTTAAGCTATACGCTTCTGTTATATTTGTGTTTTGTTATATTTACGGGTGATACATGTATTCCAATTTTGTATTGATGTCTTGATGTACATAATAAATATCTTGAAAAACATACCTTATAATATCTTATAAAACTATTTTGATGTCATAATGTAATCATTATAAATGATATGTATAGAGAATGTATGGCCTAAAGGTGAAAAATTATTGAATGTATAACTTTTACTTTCTTTGTACCGTTTATTGTGCAGCTGAAGATAAAGAAAATGCTAATTTATTATGCAATACGGTAAACATAATTGTAAAACGGTAATTATCTCGAAGAAGTTACATCATAACAATCGTATTTGACCATATGGTATAGAAAACTGTGACCTAATATGTCAGCACATGATGTTTTAACATCATAAGGTGTATGAAAAAAGTATATTTGCCCCCGTACAAAGATGACGAATGCCGTTTGGTAGTTTAAATTGGGTGTTGTGTGTCATATGTTGTGATATAATTGGCATTTGCAAACATTCATAGGCCCGTATTGTTTATATTCAAATTCAAACCCGATGATAGGCTCTTTACAGCTTCTTCCACAATCTTGCTTAACAAACTTAAGGTTATACGTCTGAGGTCTCAGTTTTTCCTTTCTTAAAATTGATCTTTGAACCGAGGTCGAGTTTAACCAATAAGTAGAATTCGGGCCACAGTGTTCATAGACTCTTTCATTAAGATATGATGGTTCATTATCTCTATACATTAACAGCTCATCAGTTTCTGGGTACACTTTATCGTCACTTATATTTAAATGGAATGTAGATGTAACTGGAATTATCAAGAATAGTTATTGTTTGTTATTACTGTTATTATCATTATCATTTTCAATATCATGCCCCGTAAGCCTGCCCAAAAACAGTTTGCATTAATATTTTTGTCATTCATTCATTCATGTATTATATTTTATTCATGACGTCTCTTTCCTGGATCCACCAATGATATGCAAATGTGCGGCTTACATAATTATGTGAGTAAAACAATATAAATGGGCCTTAGATACATTGATCTGATAGATATAAATATAGTTTCGTATTTTTCATTCGTTTGCGTGCAATATATCTGTAGTTTTTTCTTCTTTTAAATTATACTGATACCCAATAAAAAACTATTAAAAAATAATCAACAGTCACTAACACTGACCGGTTCACAACTTTCAGAAAATCTAGTAATTCTTTGTGCGTTTATCTCCTTTCCATGATCTTCAATCGCACGCATTGAAGCGCTCTCATCATTTGAAGATGCTGACAAAACTGAGACAGGGCTAATTACGAGTGTCTTTCCCGTACTTATTGGTTTCATTCCTGGTTGTCCGGTGTAGTTAGGCAGTGATGGGTCTCCGCTCTTTTCTCTCCACGCTACGGTATTTGGTGAGTTACCTGTCTTAACAGAATTCTTTGGTTGAAGTGAACTAGTCGCCACTGATGGTGGTACCCAACGCTGCGACTCATGTGTGCTTCCAAGGCGTCCTCGTCTGATGTAGCCTGAAAGGACACTCCGTAGAGGATCTGTTAGAAGGCCATACACCAGAGGGTTTACTGCTACGTGCAGATATAGAAACAATTGGATCATTTTTATGCAGAAATCTGGAGGTGTGTTTGGCTTAAAGGTTGACTGGAGTGTGAACACAAGAACGGGTACCCAGGTGAAAAGATAAGACGCTGATATAAGTGCAAGAGATCGTCCAAGGCGCTGTTCACTCGGTCGGACGTTGGACATGGTGGATGATGCGATAGAAGCGAGAGAAAAGCGTCGTCCACTGTCCCGTGTTTTGCCTCCCGTTGCCGAAGCAAGACTTGATCTTCGCTGATTGACGTTTGATCTAGGTAAGTTTTGTCGAGGAGGCAAGGGCAAGAAATCCCTGTCAGTGTACAATACCGGAAGTGCAGGCGAAGGGACACGCAGGGTATTTTGGTCTTCACACACAGCTAATGAAGCAACAGATGCAGACAACATGTTATTCGTAGTGTGCTGAACTCTCTTGGAGCTTTGCCGAACAGTGATTATAACTTTGGTGTAGCAGAATGCCATGGTGAACAGCGGAATAATGGTCGTTATAACAATTAGGAATATGACGTAAGATTCGTTGTCACTAAAACTCAAAAAGCAGTTTGGCGACCCGTCGCATGAGGTCAGGCTCCCCCAACCTATCAACGGCGGAAGGGCACACAGTCCTGCAAGGATCCACGTTACCACATACAAGAAAAGTGTCTGTGATTTGTAAAACTCTGCAAATCGATTCTGTGATCGTGACATGACGATGAGCCGGTATATCGCTAAGGTAGGAAATATGAATTCGATGCCGATGACAGCCCACAGTATGAAGAATCCATGAATCTGACATATTACGAATCCGTAGGTCCAACCACCCGTTAGACAACTTGCTACTGTCAATGGAAGAGTTAGGCAATAAATAAAATCTCCGATGACTAAATTCATGAGGTGGCTGTTAGATTTACTCCGTAACTTGGGTTTCTTGTACAATATAAATACCACAGTACCGTTACATACGACCGCTAGAAGACACAGAAGAATGTCTAACATGGCAATCACGATGTCTGATATATTGCGAATATTCTCCTCTCCACAGCCGTCGGGAGGATATAGATCAGTAGTCGACATATTCGAGATGACTACACTCTGGGAAAAAGATGTAAAATTCGTTAGATACGTCATTAAGCTGAAATCTCGGCATTTGCTCTATTCCCTTTTTTTAAACATGTACTGATCTCACGTTTCAGAGATAGCGTGTCACATTAGGTGATGGCGTACCTAACTGTCGGCGCGTTCTCTTTTTGTCCGTTTTTGTTTTTCTGCCTCTGGCTTTATACTCTGTGAATGTCATGGCCAGTAGCAGCCGTACCCTGCCAATTTAGTTGAAGGGCACTAGGTCCTTGTTAACTTCTCGGGGATAAGAAGGCTTTTATACAATCGATCAGGTATCATGTTACCCTGCAACGTCGATCGTCACTTGTTATTATACGCACTTCACATTGACGGGAAATGCTGCTCTTTCATTACCAGATGCGGCTGTTGCGGTATATCAATTCGTCTTTGTGATGAACAAGAGCTGTAATGGACCAATAGATATGAGAAGAAAAAAAACATATAAGCATTTTCATTAAAAGGGTTAAAAAGGCGATCATCAAATTACAGGTGGTTATCAATCAATATGAATCGTTGAAAATGAATGGATAAAACATCACCATCAAATTCTTTTTCATCAAAAACAACATCACACGATCACATAAGGAAACAGTTAAATCTACAGTGAAAGTATAATATCAAGGTAGCCCATGCTCTCCCTAACTACAATTTTTTTGATAGCGTCATAAGGGTTTCTGTTGTATGCGCCCATGCTTTTTAGAGAAAAGAGAAGACACAATACAACATCTTCTCACTCACAAATACCCCATGTTATATACACACCCACAATTAAAGCACCGCGCCTTATGGTGTTTGCTCGCTTTGAAATTCATTCTCGTCTGTTTGGATAGCTAGATTGGAAGGACATTAACTCGGACTTAACGTATATAGTTCAATCGGATTATAACCAAAACAACACGTAAATTACTAATGAAAACCTGAATAATGACAGGTATACATGAGAATCTTTTCAGCATTATTTTTTTTACATGAAACAAGACTCCTCTATTATGTGCACTTATTGGGTACACGCTTCTGTTTTTCAGATTGAATGAAATAATCCTCGTCAAATAGCTCCTGTCCATTAGGGCAAATATACATTAAGCCTTGACGAATATGGTTACAGCCAGGGACGTTACAATGTGCTGGATGTTTCAAACTTCTTCAACAAGAAGAAAATCAGAAAGAGCGATGAAGGAATTATGGATGAGAAGGAGATGACAGATGGGGACAGAGAGAAACGAATGACAGAGATTATCCTAATGTTTTCGTCATTAGACTGTACTATTGCACTGGTAAGCCTTAAAACATGTGAAATATCATTACAAAAAACTCCCAACACATTTTGAAATGTGCGAACACTGTAAGGAGGTATTAATGCGAACATGATTTTATGGAGTATAAAATAGGGCATTAAAATTGCCATCGACTTTGTTGCAACTCTTAGCAATCGAGTCTGTCCTTTTGTTTTTCTTGACATTTCTCCTAACGCGTTTTTATAGTTAGTTGATATGTTAAACGGCCGTTTAGGGCCTTCTTCAGAGAAAACGTGATATAACTAAAACAATGATGAAAGCCACTGAATTACCCATTAATCCCGGTGGATTGGTCGGTAGGTGCTATTTAAAGAACCAATTTCTTTTAACCAGTCGATAGATGAGGACACGCACAAACTACATTTATTGAATTTCAACCTGCTCTAAAATACAGTTCCAGCTTATTCAGTTGTTGTTAGGAAATAAGAATTGGAAACGTGAACGGGAAAGAATATTCCGTTCGTGTTCATTATGATGGATAGCATTGATTATGCCAGGAAATTGGAATTCTGATACTCTAAATCCCTTAGGCGATTGGCACCCGATATCAATTTCTGTCCTGCAGCCACATGTATTGTTTGAAATAAAACATTGTCGGTGTGCTTGATGGCGATTCTAACATGATACTGTATGTCAATGGAAGAAGTACTGAGCGCATGGAATATTTGTACGAGAAAGATAGAGAGAGAGAAAGAGGGATAGATGTCAATCGACGTAATATGTGTGTGTTTGAGCGTTTGCGTGCGTGTGTGTGTGTGTGTGTGTGTGTGTGTGTAATGGGTGTGTGTATGTGTGCGTGTGCTTTGGTTATATTTGTGCAGCAGGGATGATAAGACAATGATTAAATTGTCATTAATATACTTTTTTAAATTAAAAAAAAAAACTTTTGTTAATAAAAAGTAGATATAATGTAAAATTTGAATAACGTTTTGTTTGTCACTATAGAAAAAGCGGTTAATACAAATCTAAAAAAATTATAACATAAATATGTAACATGATCAAATTGCTGGAGGCGAGTAACATTTGAAAATTCTATCTCTCTTAACCATCAAAATTTAAGTGTGTTCTACATAATAATTTCATACCTGCTGTTTAAACTCCATTTTCTAAACGCACCCACCCAAGGGCTTCAAATGAAAGATGGAAATGAAGTTGCAGTCCCACACTTATTATAGGCATTGTAACCAGGGACTGTTATTGATCATCTTAATGACCTCCGAGTATCAAAGTAACAGCATTCATTCATGTCAGAGTACCGGACTTATTTTGATTCCAAAGTTCATCTCATTTCCGTCATTATTACGTTTATTTTCCGCCATCTTACGTGTTCATCTTCTTATACTCCCTCGAGTCTTTCGTTTCCTTTTAACATGACGTGGACAACGAACGGATGTGTTTTTTCTTCTTTCGAATTGAAGACTGGAACTAATCAGCGTTCGCAATATAACCTGCGGGTGAAAATATCAGGTCACGTTCGAAAATACTCTCCAATGTCATTTAATTTATTATAGGCCCCTAATTGTGTTCATTTGAAACACAGTCAAACATCAAAAGAATTCAGATAAATCGAATAAGATGGAAGCAAATGAGATTACGGTCGATTCTTTACATCCTGTTTACTGCGAAACGAATTTCACGTAACGAGATATTGAGTGCTTTCTGGTCAACGTTTCATTTTAGATTCAATTATGGTCGACCAGAGTTTCTGGTTTTTAAGAAAAATTAAGGATAGCGTATTCAATGTACCTATTTGCACTCTAAAACAAATCTTTGACCATTTTGACGGAAATACATGTTTTTATACATTATTAAAACGACATAGTGGAAAATTGATCCCGAGTCTCTCAAGGTTCTATACAGATTCCTTAAGGATTAACATTACAAAATCTATTTCAACATTAATTTTTAAGCCGCAAAATTAATCATATTTCCGGGAACATCATCAAAATAAAATAAAGATGTATGGATCGAATAGAATATTCATAGTTCTTGTGTGCTGTTCTGATGTTTAAGAAATAAAAGATAAATATTATGATAACAATACCGAATTCACTCAGGCATGACTGATGGGAATGTTGTGAAGATGTGCTAATCATTATAATGAGTGGCAATTAGTGTATTCATGATTGACTATTTAAGTGCTATTCGTTTGGAATCACACAGGTCTCTGACTATGTCGGAACGTTAGGAGGTCATTTAAACAAAAGCATAGAAAGCAGAGCAGCAACCACTACCACCACCAAGTGGGGGGGGGGGGGGGCTGGCTCCTTCTTTACAGAAGGCTCAGGCAAATTCGCCGACATCTCTTCAGAAAATTATCCAGCAAGCAAGGAAGGTAGAAAAACAGGAAATAAAAATTCGAACATGAATCTTTCAACTTCAGCTTCACTTCAACAATAAAGATTCAGCTGAAAAATAATGAAATGGGGTGTCCTCACTGACGCCCATCACTTCAACACCACCAGGAGGTGAAGAAGTGGGATCACACAGCAACGAGACGGTGACTTATAATGCCCGCTAGTATGCTGGTAACACCGTATAGGTCTATCGATAAACAAGAGCCGTCAATTTCAATTTGGATGCCACGTGCATTCCAAAATAGCTATCTCGAAAACAGAGTAGCGTACTAAGATGTTGGTGAACGTAGGGGCGTAATACTGGGACGTGACTCCTGAGTGAAAAATAGAGTGAACATCAACTTTTTCTTAGAGAGATTGAGAGGGAGAGAGAGAGAGAGATAGAGATTAGCACTGTATGCCGTATAAGCTCTATAATTACTACTTTTGTTTTTCTTCAGACGGTGAGGAGGAGTGCATCGGCACCACCCTGTAGTTGAAAACACATCTTCAGGTTAGTTAAAAAAAGGACACAAACAAGGGGGATACAAGATGTATCATACACATCCTGTTGTACGAGCAGGTGTAGATCTGAGCCCTTTTCTGCGGAGAATCGATTTTGATCTCCAGACATGTCCCTGTCTTCTAGATGGCATCGATTAAACATCGGAACTTGCTGCAACACGTTATCCATGACCATCAATGGTGACAACAAACAAATCGATAGATGCCAACTAGAGTGACAACAATCGCAGTTCAAACGTGTGTGGTAGACTTTCAAGGATGTAAGCATATAAACACGAAGAAAAGAATATAGACGCATTGCGCGTCAGTAACCAGACATTAATGATTCAGGCATGATTAAGTTTATTGCTCAAGAAACTAGTTTTTCTCAGCTGAAAAAGATGACTGGTGAAACACGAAATGAAGCCATACTGATAACTCAAAATGTAATGGTGCAAAAACAGGAGAAAATGTTCAATCTCTCATTTTTCTGTAATAAATACTATTAAGTTTTACCTAGCTGAAATTCTAAAATATGCAGACTATTACCTCCTTCTTTAATTGTTGACTCCAAAGATCTGGAAGGGACCTACATTATTTTTCTTTTCCAGTAAAAAGAAACATGAAATAAATTCACAATGATCACGTTTGAAATAAAATTATTAAACCAGCATTACCCCTTTACCGAATCCCATCCATCATTTTTATTGCAGGAGCTTATTGCAATAATTGATCTGCAACTATACACCGATTTTGTTATATAAAAACAAGGTGTGATACTATCAATGTAGAAGAAAATATCTTCAGTCAATTCTTTAGGCAAATGAAAGTGTTTTTCTTTTTTCTTTCACCCTTAACAGGTGTTTTGGCAAATGAAAGTTCATAGTTTGACATTTCACTGTATACCAAGTCTACATCTCAAGTAGACGAACGTTAGGGAATAGAAGAGATCAGTAAGGAACTTCATAACTTTTTCATCTTTAAAGAAGCCAAACTCCTTACCTAGGGTACATGAGGATATTAGATTTCTCTGAAGAAAAGGGTGATTAAAGGAACATGAAATGAATTCATAAAGTTAACACCAAGCATACTAAACAATAACAAAGAACAAGATAAGCCTAATGCTAATGGGCTGGGGAATCTTTTCTACGACTCATTGTTTTCCTCCTTCATTTCTTACATTCTTAAAGACAGCGTGGGTGTTGGTTTAAAATGAAGAAAATACTTTCAATCGAGACAAAGAACTAAAAACATTATCAGTTCTTAAG